TTGAGCACAGACCCATTGTAGGCTACTCTGCAGGTTCAGGAAACAGTCCTCCATAAAATGCGTCACACACTGCGGGCTTGAGTGAGGAACGGCTGGCGGGCTTGAGTGAGCGGAGGCGGGTGGGCTTGAGAACGGCGTGGCCGGCGGATCCGACGAAAAAGCGGCCGGTGGGCTTGCGGCAACCACATGTGACGACCCCGGGCTATTGTAATGCTTTTTTCCTCAGTTGGTCAGAACAAACGTGGCAGACTTGTTACTTACTTGTTCAGATGACAAAATCCGGTGAAAATGCTTATTTGGGTCATATATTCCAAGACATAGGCTAGAATCTGTGAGTGTGAAGTACATTAAATATCCACACCAGTGCGGTGACTGACCGCCACACATAATTCCGCAAACAGCTGCAATTCCAGGTTTTCAAACAGAGATGGTGACAAAGAGGCAAAACTTACGGACTGCAGCTTTAAATAAACTATATAAAATTAAACTAAATAAAATAAAATATAAATATTAGATAAAAAATTTTAACTCTTTTAAATATAAAAATTTCCTTGGCACAAAACTAAAATAAATAAGTTGAAGTTGAAGTACTAAAACTGAAATACTAAAAATAAAATAAAATAAAATAAAAAAATAAAATAAATACATTTTAGTACTAAATAAATGCTAAAATAAAAAAATTTAACTAACATAAATTAAAGCTAAATAAAAATATGTACTAGAAAATAACAAAAGCACAAAATAAATAAAACTTAAACAAAGATTCAAATAAAAAACAAAAAAATTTAAATAAGCGCTAATTCAGAATATTATCAAATAGTATCGCAATACATAAATAACATTGAAATAACACACTACATGGTCTCAAACCACTACTCACCAGATGCACATACGGAACAAAGTATCCCAGCACTGCTGTGGCGACACCGAACGCCCAAACCCGATAGGTCAGCACACCGAACACTCGCACGTTAAAGTACTTCCTGATTTTGGCCAGGCCCTTCTGACACCTGCTCGCTGACTCCAGGCCGGACGGGGGGCCTCCGTCCATTCCCATGCCTGGCATCGGGCACATCCCACTGGGCATGAGCGGTTTGAAGGTGAGGGCCAGCAGCGACTGGACCAACATGAAGATGCTGAGGATCTGGAAGGTTCTGGAAAGGCCCAGCGGTCCCACCACTTTCTTGAGCAGCACAGGGAGCCCCATAGAAAAGAGGCTGCTGCCTGCCGTCACCACGCCGTTGGCCAAACCCAGTCTCTGTCGGAAATAATGCCCCAGGATCACCAGCGACGGCTGGAATGCAAACGAGGATCCGCAGCCGAACAGTATCCCGTATGTGAAGTATCGAAGACCCAGCGTGCTGAGGAGAGAAGAAAGGACGTCAGTGTGACAAAAGAGCAATGCTGATGAAAGGCTGTAGGGTTAAAACTATCACCTTTATACCCTTTTTCACTGTTAAAGGGATAGTTCACCCAAAAATGAAAATTCTGTCATTAATTACTCACCCTCATGTTGTTCCAAAAACCGTAAGACCTCCGTTCATCTTCCGAACACAATTTAAGATATTTTTGATGAAATCTGAGAGCTTTCAGACTCTCCCATAGACAACAAGGGTCCTTACACGATCAAGACACAGAAAAGTACCAAGATGATCGACAAAGTAGTCCGTGTGACATCAGTGGTTCAACTGTAAAGTTACGAAGCTACGAGAATACTTTTTTGCGCAAAGAAAACAAAAATAACCACTTTATTCCACATTTTCATCTCTACTGCGTCTCTTGTGGACGTGTGTTCACGGCAGTACCATGACGCAAGCGCGTAGCGGCGCCGGTGCTGACCCAGATCCGGCGTGATGACGTTGAACGCAGTAGAGACGAAAATGTGGCATAAAGTCGTTATTTTTGTTTTCTTTTCGCAAAAAAGTATATCTTAATTAGTGTTCCGAAGATGAATGAAGGTCTTATGGGTTTGGAACCACATGAGGGTGAGTAATTAATGACAGAATTTTCATTTTTGGGTGAACTATCCCTTTAAAGCAATTTATTCAATCCCAGTTTAATGTGACTAAGCTATAAATATGTTTATGGCCCTTTTTGAAATAGAAGTGCACTTAATTGTATTGAATGTGCCATTTTAGTATCATACTATTACCTATTATATAATAATAATTATTATTATTATTATTATACTATTATTATAATACTATTATAGTTTTTTTACATTTTAAATTTATTTTATTTTTGTTTTTATTTTTCCTTCTAATCTTAGCTAAAGTTTGTTCATTTAGTTGCACATTTTTTATATTTTTATTTTTTTAATATATTAAATTAATATATATTTTTATTAAATGTAAGTGTATTGTTTTGTCATTTTTATTAGTCAGTTATTTTTTAAATATGTCTGTATAGTTTTTTAAGTTTTCATTTTTAGTTTAAGTTTATTGTTGTTGTTTTTTGACATTTTAATTAGTTTGTGTTTTTCTTTAAAATATATCTATATAGTTTTTATTAGGTTTTAGATTTAGTTTATTTAGTTTTAGATATTTTAGTTATATTTTAGATTTTTGTACTTAAATAGGCACAAAAATGAGAAACAAAAAAATATTTTTTTTACTAAAATAAAAACAAACTAAACAAAGTTTGACAACTAGATAAATAAAATGTTTAAGTTTATATATTTTTTTTTTTCAGTCCATATTTATCTTATTTTAAGCAACAAAAATGTTTTGTATGGTTTTAGCTTTAGTTTTTAGTGAACAATAATAAGCCTGTAGTGTACATCAAACTTCAAATTATATTATTAAAAATCTGTATGTGCACATAGTAACATTAATACAAAAAAAGGCCATTTAAGTGTATTTAAAATGAGTCCTACTTAATTTAGTCAAAGAAAGCACAATAAAACTCAGTATATTTCATGTGTTATATTGCATTTTATTTCATTTAAACCTAAACTACACTAAAATACATTTTTATTTAATTGCTATTAACATGCATTTAAGTGTCTGAAAAAAAATGACATTCAGTCCCATAAAAAGCACTCTTTTTGAAAGTAAGGTTTTTCTCAAGTGTCCATAAGCAACTTCTGCAAGATGGTTGCACACTAACTAGAAATAAAGTCATACAAGGTGCAGGATTGATATGAGCACTTTTACAGCAGAACTGTTGATTTCTCATGTTGTTCTCTCCTTATTAAACTGATACATTTCACTTCCAACTGACCTGTGACTCCTAAAGCCAAAGAATATGCAACACACGGCCAGCAGGACACATTATTTGGTTAACGACCAAACAGACGTTAGTGTAAATGATGGATTGTGGGATGGACGAGAGAAACTCAACCCTGCAGGAGACACTTGTGTTCAAAGCCTGAGGAAGGGAGGGAAATAGTTTGTGTGTGTCGGTGTGTGTGTGTGTTTGCATGCACTATAGCGTTTGTGCTTTTTGAGTGTTTCAGGCTCTAAATGCAGCAGGACCAGGGCAGGCTGACCGTTTTTTCCAACCTTTTTTTAACAACAGCAAGAGCTTTTTCGGCTTGGAATAAAACCAGCACTCTGTCCAACTGCACAAAGATCTCAGAAAGAAGGCACTGTGAGAAAACCATGAGAAGGAAAAGAATGAAGGAAAGGAGAGAAGAGAAAGAAAGCAAAGATTACATAAATGTTCTGCCGTACATGTCCTGCTGTCCTAAGTGTTTGTTTTTGTCCTTTTGCTTAAAAGACTGTTGGCGTGTTTCTGTAACCTTTTATATAAGCACACTTTAGGAGTGATTTGTCTGCCTCCATCACTTCGACCACAACATTTCTATAAAACCCAACCTCCAAAGACATGAACGCACAAAATTAGTGACAGGAGACATTATTGACTGACATCTTACCCATGTAAAAGAGAAACAAACAAATGTGCCACACACTTTGAAATATTTTTGTCTGAAAAGACAAAAGTACAAAAAAAGGGATAAAAAAAAGAGGATAAAAAAATCCCATAACACTAAATATTTTAAAGAAAAATATTGTTTTTGGATGAATGCACAGGAAAAAACTCATATAATCAATATTTGACTTCTTTGTCTAGTCCATACAGCAGAGTGACGGCGCTGGATGGGCATTCTGGGTAAAATAAATGTATTTTGGTAAGGTTGAAAGAATTAAAATAAACCTAAAATCCCAATGCATGGGTCATTTTCAGGAAATAATGTCATTTGTGTGTCACATTACCTAGAACCGTCATATTATTTGACTAATTTAATTTTGTTCTGTCTATAGTTATTTGTCAGTTCTGTTCAAAATGTATGAAATAAATCCAAATAATAAATATTTTAAAGCAAATTATTGTTTTTGTAAAAATGTGCATGACAAATAAATATTTTAAAAAAAATCATATAATAGCCTAATAAATATTTTTAGAAAAAGTTTTTTTTTTTTTTTTTTTTAATTCCCAAGAAAAACATACATATAGAAAAATTTTTGGAAAACTGTTAAGTGATTTAATCTTCTTCTGTGTATATATTTATGGTATATTTGTTTAGTTCAACAGTTTATATAATCATATAACACAATATAATATGTAATGTAATAGCTTACATTTTGCATATTATTTCCGAATGAACTGTGAAAATGCTAAAGTAACACGAAATAAAAACTATGTACATGTGGTTAAAAAAGAAAAGATAAAAACAAAGAAGGCATTTACGTTGCGAAGGAACTGGTGAGAAGACCGAGGAAGGCCACAAACGCTCCACAGACGGCCGTCTTCCGGCATCCGAAGTGATCTGTGAACATACTGACCACCGGAGAGCAGAAGAATATCATCCCCATCGCCAGAGCACCAACCCATGCTGGAGAAAGAAAGAGTAAAAGATGTGGTCAATAAATGATGAAGTATATTAACCCGATTTTCCATTTGCCAGACTCAATGCCACGATGCTACAGTGTTCTGGGAGGTTGGAACGTTGCTATCATAGATATGTACTGTATATGCATATCTATGGTTGCGAGGTCGTTCTGAGTATTTTTAGTGCATTGTTATATAATTGCTAGGTGTTTTTACTGGCCTCAAGTCTCAACGGCTCAGTCTAAATCTGTGGGATTTTTTGCCTGTTTAAGCCGTTAGAAAAGCAACAACACCTCTTTTCAACAAGTCACACAATGCAAATCCCTAACCATAAGCAAGACAACAGAAAGCACCACTAATAAGATCATTGACAAAATAACCAGCTTTGAGATTCATTTGTGTGAACAAAGTTTCCTCATGTGATGAATGTGGAAAAACACTCACTAATCCAATGATTTTATATCAGTCTTGAACAGTGTTGGGGTAGTAACGTAAGTTATGTAATCAGATAACTTTTTTTAAGTAACTAGTAAAGTAACGCCAGTTACTTTGTTTCCCATGCATTTACTGACAGCTCTCGTGTTGCCATGTTGAGAGAAATCGGGAGTAAGTGCAGAGGCGTTGTGTAAACATGATGCTTACTGTAGTTCTAGACCAGTGGTTCTCAAACCTGTCCTAGAGTACCCCCAGCCCTGCACATTTTGTATGTCTCCCTCATCTATCACAGCAGATTTAACTCATCAGCTCATTAATGGATACTGCAAGACCTGAAGTGGGTGTGTAAGATATAGGGAGACATACAAAATGTGCAGTGCTGGGGGTACTTCATGGAAAGGTTTGAGAACCACTGTTCTAGACTAAATATGAACATGTATTTACTCATCTTACCTGCACAAAAACAGATTCAGTATTCCTCAAAATGAAAAAAAAAAAGTCAAACGCAAACTCAATATTATACAATAATTAAATGTTAAATAAGACAAATATAATTTATGTATTTAATCCCATTTTATTAACCAATGTCTTTGCTAATGACCTTTGATGATCCAATTCAACCATACTAAGCAATAATGACACATTTGTGTTTCATTTTTGTTATTACTGAATAGTGTTGAACTTTCTTCTCCTGCGTCATATTCTTTATGCAATTTGTTTGAGCTGCGCCCTCTACTGTCAGACATGAATTTACGTTTCCTTCAGCCTGAGGCGTATTCATTTCACTTTTGTTGTGAAAGGGTATTACGAGCACTTCCTGTGTCTGTTTGCCTCTTTAAGAAGAATCACTTTATGTATTCCCCAATTGTAAGTCGCTTTGGATAAAAGCGTCTGCAAAATGACTAAATGTAAATGTAAATGTAAGAAACGTCTCAGTTACATGTGTAACCCTCGTTCCCTGAAGTAGGGAACGGAGACGTCACGTCGGGACCGACAAATGGGAATCTCGCCAGAGAGACCAATCCACTTGGATTGTAACTAAATGAGCCAATGGACATTGGCATGCGCATGTAACCGAGACGTTCCCTTTCAGTCGGTCACTCTCAACGTCATGTCGGGACCAACGAATGGGAATCCCTACCAACGCGCCACAGGTACTGCCCCCTCCAGTGCCCTGTGTAGGCCTCCTGAACACTTCCTATAAGGCAGACGATAGGACCGGGCTCTACACAGGAAAGGTCGACTGCTGCTGTTCCTCGAACAAACAAAACAGTAGGACTTGGATAACACTGGGAAAGCGTGCCCTTACAACTTGGAAGAGGCATGCTGCAGAGTAACCTCCTCCCAGAGGGGGTTGAGTGACATTTACTCATGTGGAGTAACCCAAAAGGGTCCTATTGCACATGGCACATGGCTCAGGCTGCATCATCTAGAGACGGCAGAGCATAGCCTGCCAGGGGAAACATGACCCTAGTAACTGTACCATGGAAATACACATATGGGATCCCAACAGGGTCACTCATATGGGCACTAGCCTCACACCAGATTTCAGGAATTCATTGGATGAAAGGCCTGGAGCCGGATGCTCCGCCACATCCGGCAGCCGGAGTGCTGGAGGACTCGACAGGGTTTGCCTGGTTAGGGAACTCTCTGGAGAACTAGGCGTTATGGACGCCGCAAGCTGTCTCTGAACCGGGCCTCTCAGTGCCACCACCCGTTTGAGGTGAGAACACAGGAGGAAACCGGTTCAACACGTAGGCTATACAACCTAGCGAACATGTTACCCAGAGTTGCCCAGTGTGCAGCTCTACAAATATCTGCTAGCGAGGCACCACGAGCCAGTGCCCAGGACGATGCGACACCCCTAGTGGAGTAAGCATGCAGCCTGAGCGGGCAGGGCACACCTTGTGCCTCATAGGCCAAGGTGATGGCATCCACTATCCAGTGGGCCATCCTCTGCTTGGTGACAGCTTTCCCCTTCTGCTGTCCTCCGTAACAGACAAAAAGCTTCTCTGAGGTCCTAAAGAGTTCTATCCACGTACTGTCGCAGCACGCATACAGGACAGAGCAAAGTCAGGGCTGGGTCTGCCTCCTCCAGGGGCAGCGATTGCAGGTTCACCATCTGGTCCCTGAAGGGAGTGGTAGGAACCTTGGGGTCTCAGTGTTTTACTGGAGTCAGCCGGCCCAAACTCAAGGCACGATTCGTCGACCGAAAATGCCTGCAGGTCCCCCACCCTCTTGATCGAGGACAATGCAGTCAGGAGTAGGGTTTTCATGGAGTGAAACTTCACCTCGACTGACTCCAAAGATTCGGAGTGAGCAGTTTGTAGGGCTCTTAGCACCAATGCTAAATCCCAAGAGGGTAAGGAGGAGGGCCTAGGATGATTTAACCTTCTGGCCTCCCTAAGGATCCTGACAAAACAGGTCGTGCTTCCCCACCGACCTCCCCTCTATGGGGTTGTGGTGTGCGGAGATAGCAGCAACATAAACCTTAAGGGTGGAGGGGGACAGCCTATGCTCCAACTCTTGCTGCAAGAAGGAAAGCACGGCTCTGATCGAACATTTCCGGGGGTCCTCTCGGTGAGAGGAACACCATTTGACGAGCAGGTTCCACTTCAAACCATAGGCCCGTCTCGTGCATGGTACTCATGCTGAAGTGATAGTGAGTGCTACCTCCTGGGGTAGGTCACCTAGAACCTCCACACATGAAGTTTCCACAGGTCCGGACACGGGTGCCAGAGGGTGCCCCATCTCTGAGAAAGCAGATCCTTCCTCAGAGGAATCAGCTGGGGGGCTGTCGCGAGAAGCATGAGTTCCAGGAACCAGGTCCTGTTGGGCCAATATGGAGCCACTAACAAGATCTGCTCCTCGTCCTCCATCATCTTGCACAGCGTCTGTGTGAGTAGGCTCACTGGGGGGAATGCATATTTGTGCAGGCCCCGGGGCCAGCTGTGTGCCAGTGCATCCGTGCCGAGCGTTGCCTCGGTTAGGGAGAAGAACCACTGGCAGTGGGTGGTTTCTGGAGATGCAAACAGGTCTACCTGAGCAATTCCGAACTGACTCCAGATCAGCTGAACCGCTTGGGGGTGGAGTCTCCACTCCCCTGGAAGTGCAGCTCGAGACAGCTCATCGGCTGCCCAATTGAACATTCCTGGGATGTGGATGGCACGAAGGGACCTCAGATGCTTCTGACTCCAGAGGAGGAGGTTGCGGGCGAGTTGCGACGAGAGCGTAAACCGCCTTGCCGGTTGATATATGCAACGGTCGCAGTATTGTCCGTGTGGACCAGTACATCCCTGCCCCGAAGGCACCCTCTGAGGTGGCTCAGGGCAAGGCGCACTGCCAGCAACTCGAGGCAATTGATATGCCAACGCAGTTGGGGACCTGTCCACACCCCTGACACTGCATGCCTGTTGTACGTGGCTCCCCAGCCGGTGGCCGAGACATCTGTGAAAACCACCGCATGCCTGGATACCTGTCCAACAAAGCAACTAAGGATCCGACCACGGCTGAAGGTTCTGAGACAGGCTGGTGTAATCTGAACCCGGTGAGTGCCGCGTAGCCATGCCCAACTCGGGACTCGGCCATGGAGCCAGTGCTGAAGCAGTCTCATATGGAGCAGACCGAGCGGAACTACCGCAGCGACTGCAGCCATATGCCCCAGGAGCCTCTGAAACAATTTTAGTCTTGAGGCAGTTCAGCACGTTCCTGGATAAGGCGTGCTGTCTGGTTGACTGAATCCAACTCCATTCTGAGAAAAGAGATCCTCTGCATTGGCACGAGTTTGCACTTTTCCCAGTTGACCCGAAGACCCAACTGGCTGAGGTGTCTGAGCACCACGTCCCTGTGTGCGCACAACTGATTGCGAGAGCATTCAGGAATTGCACCTTATCATGCTCCTTCATATCAGCCAGACACAGCCGGAGATGGCACTCCTGGACCACCAAGGTGGGCATCGCACAACCCAGAGACTGTGCGGTTACCTTCGTCGCTCGGAGCTTATCATGCTCCTTCATATCAGCCAGACACAGCCGGAGATGGCACTCCTGGACCACCAAGGTGGGCATCGCACAACCCAGAGACTGTGCGGTTACCTTCGTCACTCGGAGCGCGAGGTCCGTCGCAGTACGCAGTTCATGTAGAACCGCCAGGTCATGACCACCCTCGTGCAGGTTTCTCAGGGCTTTGGCCTGATGAACCTGCAATAACGCCAAGTCGTGAAGGGCAGAGGCCGCCTCCCCACAAGCTCTGTATGCACTGCCAGTTAGACCTGACGAATACTTACAGGCCCGCGAGGGGAGACACGGGTCACTCCGCAGAGTGGTAGCGGCCGTGGGACACAGTTGCATGGCCACAGACCGCTCCACCGAGGGAATGCCCGTGTACCCCAAAGCGGCTCCGCCATCAAGGGTGGTGAGGGAGGAGGAGCTGCACGATTAGTTTCTGGCAGTAAAAGGTGCCTTCAACGATCTCGTGAGCTCCTCATGCACTTCCGGGAAGAATGGCACTGGAGGGGGGCGCTGAGAACCAGCGCGACCCCCACCGACGAACCACTCATCCAGTCTCGAA